ATAGTAAGACATTAACTCCACAAAAATGAAAAAAGAAAAAAAGAAAAAGAGGAAGAAGGAAAAGAGTACTTCCTCAAGATATCTTCATTCGAAGCTCTCCCTCATTACCTCAAGACACATATCTTTATCACTACTCATCCTTCCTTCCTCTATGCAACTATTCTAGAACATTGTCTTATTTGACACTCATCTATATAGAATATATATGTTCTTCTAAATTTCAAAGAACTCATAAAAGAAATGGAAATGATTATGTGGTCCTACTTTCCACACTCCTTATGAATACCTTCCTTTAACCTTCACTGTGAATATTTGATTTTAAAAACTTCTGGTGACACAATAAGAATTACATATTACACTAATATTAAGTATCTCTCTTTTCCCTCTTATACCCTATCATGACTCAGGGGCTACGCAAGCATACCCACTGTAAAGTCATATTGAGCAGAGACAAAGAGCAAATCCCAGCTGGCCCACTCACCAGATAGTAAACATTATGACCTGCCAATAGGTTCAGAATCCTTGCACGCCTCCCTCCATACCCTACTAAGTGCTCAAAATAGTAAAGAGACAGTACAACACCCCACTCCCAGCCCTACTTCATAAGTGAACAAACCCAGAGCTCCAGCTCAAGGAAGAACAAAAGGTAGAGCAAATATCAGAAGTGATTGCTTCTCCATTTTCCACTGAGCAACAGAACTAAAGAGAATGATAAAAGAACTGCTACAAATGAAGAAAAACCAAAAAAAAAAAACTGCCAGTAACCATCAGAGTCCTAGCAAAAAGTGCTAGAAAGAACAGCTACTGGGACACAAACAATGGCTATCGCCCAGAACAACAGTACCTAGAAGATACTGGAGATCAGATAATCATAGGATAGAATGAATAAAAATCAAGAAATGCAAGGGCTAAAACTAAATGAAATTGTAATGGAGCTAGACTCAAAAGTGTACTTAGAATTAACAGAAATAAAGTATGCTATCCAAGAAATAAATAACAAACTGACAAGCATGGGAAGCAGAATTGACCAAGCAGAAGACAGAATCTCAGAGCTGGAAGACCAAAATATGGAATTAACCCTATCTATTAAAAAACATTTTAAAAAAAAAACTTAAGAAGAAAGAGGAAACTCTCCAAAATATGTGTGACTTTATCAAGAAACTAACCTATGTCTGATTGGAATACCTGAAATACAAAGAGAAATGGAAAACACCTTGAAACAGAGTTCCTTTTTTGGCAGAGGCAAGGTAGCTCACACCCATAATCCCAGCACTTTGGAGGCCAAGGCAGTAGGATTGCTTGAACCCAGGAGTTGAAGACCAGCCTGGGTAACATACAGCAAGCCTTTGTCCCTTCAAAAAAAAAAATTTTTTTTAATTAGCTGGTTGTGCTGGCATGAAGCTGTAGTCCCAGCTACTCAGGAAGTTGAGGCAGAAGGATCACCTGAGCCCAGGGTGGAGACTGCAGTGACCCACGATCCTGCCACTGTACTCCAGTCTGGGTGACATATTGAGACCTTGATTCATAAAAAATTAAATAAATAAATTCCATTTGGGTCATACAGTTTTTCATCCTGCCATTAGCCAGCTATATGACCACTGACAACTAAGTTAACTATCAGCAAATTATTTCAACTTTCTGAGCCTCAATTTCCTGATTTGTGAAATTTGGTAAACCACCTACATGCCAGGAATGTCCTGAGTACTAAAGAGTCAAGGTAGCTACAATAACAAGCACAGTGAACACACACTGTCAATCTAACACTGGTTTTTTCTTCCCTCCCCCACATCTTACATGGAGTATCTCATTAAATCCTCATCTCACCATCATGAAGTTCATATTAGGATGAAACATATAAAAAACAGCAGAATATTGGCAAGTTCATATGTTTCAACCTACTACTATTTCCATTTACAACTGGAGAAAATAAACTTAAAGAGGTTAAATGATTTGTTCAAGGTTATATGCATAATAAGTGATGGAGCTGAAAGTTAAATATTTTCATTCCACCAGCTCACTAACTTGTTCAGTGAGTCCTGCTTGGGAGAGGCAAAAAAAAGTATACAAACCACTATAATACATGTAAAACTACTATAACTCGCAAGTTTTTTGCTCTGCCACTATTAAAAAATGAGGGGGTGAGCCAGATTTCTAAGTCTTTAAATTTTATAAGTTATTTATAGAGCATCTATGTGTGTGCTGGGAGAAGCTGAAGGCTTAGGGAAAACCAGAGCTAAAGAATATTAAGTAAAGCATATGCACAACTACACTAATTCAATAAGTACACTGAGATCTAATTAGAAACCCCACTAATTAGAAATTCCACATAGCCGGGCTCGGTGGCTCAGCCTGTAATCCCGCGCCTTTGGGAGGCTGAGGTGAGTGGATTGCCTGAGCCCGCGGGTTCGAGACCCGCCTGGGCAGCGAGACCTCATCTCTACAATAAATCAAAAAATCAGCCGGGCGTGGTAGCGCATGCCTGTAATTCCGGCTACTCGGAAGGCTGAGGCGGAAGGATCGCCGGAGCCCAGCAGGTCGAGGCTGCGGTGGCTGAGAGAGGCCACTGCACTCCAGTCTGGGCGACAGAGTGAGACTCCAACTCAAAAAGAAAAAGAAATTCCAAAAAGCAGCTAATCATCAACTATCCATTTTGGTGAAAGCTTAAAAGTATTAGGCCGGGCTCGGTGGCTCAGCCTGTAATCCCGCGCCTTTGGGAGGCTGAGGTGAGTGGATTGCCTGAGCCCGCGGGTTCGAGACCCGCCTGGGCAGCGAGACCTCATCTCTACAATAAACCAAAAAATCAGCCGGGCGTGGTAGCGGATGCCTGTAGTTCCGGCTACTCGGAAGGCTGAGGCGGAAGGATCGCCGGAGCCCAGCAGGTCGAGGCTGCGGTGGCCGGGAGCGGCCACTGCCCTCCAGTCTGGGCGACAGAGTGAGACTCCAACTCAAAAAAAAAAAAAAGTATTCAACACCACAGATGCAAAACTCACGAAGAGTTATATTAAACACTTTGGTACACAAAGGTATGCACTGATACATAATGTCACTATAATAAAATGTTACTAAGATCAGTAAAAAGTGTAAAAGTTTTTCTTCTAATAGTAAGATTACTGTAGTAAAACTATAACTGTTAAGTTTACACAAATGCCACAAAGAATTAATTAGGATTAGATCACATAAACCACATTTGACACACAATGTCTCTCCAAACGAAAGTAAATAAATAACAAATGGTCACCATAAAACCGGTGAAATATTTAACAGCATCAAAAATTTACTACGGCTGGCCTACAACCCTATTCTACCTCTTTTCTCCTTGATTTGTCACTTGCGTTTAAAAAAAAACTGTATGAATAAAATAAGGATAACGAAGAGAAACTGGGCATTCCAACATATTTACAATAGAACAGTTTTGTTTTAATGCTTGAGCCGGTCCCTCCTCCAATTATGCAATCATTCCACAGCCAGAGATTAACAAGCTCCCCCCCACCCCTACCTTCCCCCGCCCCACCCCCCGAAATGAAGGAGCTGGGGGGAAACGGGAGCGAGGTGAACAGGTAGCCTCTGAACAGGCAACACTTCCACGAAACCGGACGGCCTCTCGGGAATCAGTACCAGCTCCGCGCTCTTCTCACCCTTTGGCCATGACGGACATATTTTTGTAATCGCCCAACAACCGGCAACTCTTCACGTGCCGCGGACTCCACGCAGCATCGTCACCTCTCGAGCCACGAAGCTGCTTTTCCCGGGGCGTCTGGCGAGTCGTCGGCGCTGGGAGGCCGGTGTCATCACAATTTCGTCCGCGCAGCTCGGCTCAACTCCCCCAAACAAAAGTCAGGCTGAACTGAGCGGCGGCTCCAGGCGCGACTGCGGCGCTCGCTCGCTCCCACCGGGTCTCACCGAAACCTCCCGAGGGCGACCTCTGCGCCTCGCACGCCGCGAAGCCCCGGGCACGCAAAGCCGCCGCTGCCCGGCGCCGGGCTCCCGCTCCGGTCCCCGCGCTGCCTTCCGACGTGTCCGGGAACTCTCTCTTCACCCCTCCGGGTCGTAGGCTCGCGGCCGCGCCTGCCCGCCGGCAGGTACCCGCGCTCGGGCTCTCCGCCTCGGGCCCGCGCAGTGAATGAGTAACGCGCCCGCGCCCGGCAGG